AACCCAAACAAATTTAATACTATAAGTCTTTTACAAAGTTTGGGCCACTTAAGAGGGCCTTTATTGTTGTTACATCAAATTTCTATATCAAATTTTTGTTCGTAGACCCAAAATTAAAAATGGATTTTCTTCATAAACAAAAAGCTCTCAATCAGAAGAGACAGAAAACCCATGTTCAATTTGCGATCAACTAGGCTGAAAATCTTAGCCTGAACTTGATAGACGATATTTCAGAACTGATCTTTATTACCAATAAAAATTAATAACATGTCAATTAGGCTAAAATTATGTGTTGAAAAATGTGATACTATATGTAGTAATTATTAAGCTGGAGGCATTCAAAGTAATGCCTTAATAATCCCAACTTACCAGCTCATGGGCTGAATTAGGTTTGGGGGTACTCAAGTTTAGTCGCATTATAATTTTAAATGGATTTTAAAAGTAGATTTATCAATGTGTTGAACAAAAATAAATAGAAGGACCAATGAAACATTATTTATCAATCTAATTTATGTCATACAATCCATCAATTGTACCTAAAAGTCATGCACACAATAACTCTGCTCAGCATCTATAAAATAAAACAGGCATCGAGAGTCCAAATCTATTTCTGTAGAAATCGAGTACTTTTCTAGTAGTGCTGCTATGTTATAGATAGGAGAGTTCATTAGATTTGGTGGTCAATTCGACAGATCAAACTGAATCAATTAAATTAATTTAACTATTTTATATAATTGCGTTCAACACAAACTAAACTAATATAATTAATTTTTTTAAATCGATTCATTTGGAATCAAATTGATCTCTATATTTTGTATTGTTTTCAATACTTTAGAATTTTCTCTCTCCTTAATTTGTAAGTATGTTTTAATAATTAGTACTGTAAATTTGAAGGTTATTGTAAATTTTTCTAAGAAAAACTTCTGCATTTTTATGACAATTTTTTATTTAATTTTTATATTAAGAATTTAAAACTATATACAAGTTACTAACTTAATGATTCAAGCCAATCCGTTAGGTTTATTGATTTTCAAATTTAAATCAAGGTAATTAACTAAATGGTTTAACTTTTTTTTCTTTAAAATTGAACAAATTCATATATACCCCTAATTACAGAAATCCTCCAACCACTAACTCAAACTTACCCCATTATTTTTTTCTTCTCTTCTTATCTAAATTATATTGTTAAAATAATGATGCATAATTTATTATTCAAATATCCTTTCTCTCGATCGCAGGCCAAACTTAAACATACCACATTATAATGGCTATGGCTAATGATAACCTTTGCAAGGCCCACCCTTCCACCATCAGATCACTAACACAGAAATCATTGTGATTGCAAATGATGCTGATGTCGGTCTCTCTTTTCAGTTCTTATAGATATGTTTGTCATTAGAAACGTGAAAGCGCCCAATATTTTCTCCATCATCAATGGACAAATGACACATCCTATCATACCCTGTCCATCCCACACAATTCCCTATGCATTGAACACTCAAGAGTGGTGCTGCAGTTCCCTGCAAGCCCTCATTTTAGAGATTCACTTTTCTATTTTCACCAACTTATTGTAGTTATGCTTTCCAATTTTTTGTTCATGATATAGAAAAATGCTAGACCTTTTGAATGTATATACCTTGAATAAGATAAGAAAAAAAAAAGTAATGAGATATAATGATATATTAAATAAATATTAATATTATTTAAACATTTATAAATAAAAAATATATAATGTAAGTCCAACCATATTCCCATGCAATTCATTTGTTCATTTGAACGCCTTTTCACCCTCATCTTGTAAAAGTGAATGCAATAAACACTGACTCATGAGTGGTACTGCATGTTCACTGGCTGCATCGTAAGAGATGCCCAATCTTTCCAGTTAATGCATGATCGATGAAGATCCACTTTTCTTTTTTCCTTTCTGTTTATTTAAACCAAAAGATGATTATACTAAAGGTATAGTATCTTTATATTTTATAAAGCAATATAAAAAGAAAAAGAAAAATTAATGTAGTAAAATATAATGTAGATATATTAAAAGAATTGTTCAAATAACAAAACTAGGTATAAACAGTATATTTGAGAACAAAGAATTACACTAATAATAGATATGGCCCAGAAAATAACAAAAGAGACCCACTAAGAAATTGGAGTCGTAAGATTAGCGACTAGATATTCCAACATAATATTACAAAAGATAGCTAATTGATGGCAGACCCTACAAATTCAAAAGACTGCAAAAGCTGCCAATAATATCATATTCTCCTTTAATCAGTAAAAAAAAACCAGTCCTAACAGCAAAAGATCATCCATGATCCAAAATTGTTAAAGAAATCCACTTTTATTTTTTCAGCATGTTATTATAGCTATACCTGACAATTTTTCATTCCATATATAATGAGAGGGCCAACCATATATCTACCAACAAATACGTTTATTGTTCTAAATTATACCTTAGTATACGTGTGATGTTAGTTTTCTCGTTCATATTTAATTACTCTAGTTTTTTAAATGTTTAAATTAACTCTTTCACTTTTAAATTAAGATTTTTATGATATTATACGTTTTTATTTAAACATTTTATATATTATTTTATTTATTTATTTATATAAATCAATAAAATATCATATTTTTGTTATATTTTTATCAAATGTTAAATAAAATTTTAAGATAGAAAATTTAATTCAACATTTAAATAATTAGAAAAACTAAATATAAACCATTAAAATTAAGAAAAAAATCATATATACATACCTTAAATTACAAAGAATAAAATTACAATTAAGCTAATAATCTTTTGAATTCATCAATGATAGTATTAACCAATTGAACGGATATATATACCGTCATATGTCAACCACATGCTTAAGCTTGTTTACGTACCATCCATATTTAAGGATAATGTTAGAATTTTCTTTATCTAGAGTTAAAAGAACTGACAATACATATGAATAGCCAATGAAATACCACATCAGTGAATATATTCTAAAATCCCAGTACAAGCATTGTATTATATTTTTCCTCCTTGGATTCTGGATTTTCATGTTGCCTAATGCCTGGTCGCCTTGCCACACATGACCTATCAAGTTAACCTATGGAACGAGTTTTGTATGGCCTTAGACAATAGCAATATTCCAACTCAATTAAAGCTTGCCAAATTTGTATATATATACGTTGGCATTTTTAATCAAACACCACATGCATAGTTATTTATATAATTCCAATTCTAAATAAAATATGCTTTCTGGTATTTCAGATTTGGAACCAAACAATATTACATACTCATAACAATTAATATATAAACGATTATATAAAAAGTTTTAGGTATATAATATATTTACTAGCACACAGTTTAACATCAAACATGCGTAAAAGGTTGTATATGTCATTTTAAAAACACACTTACGACTAAAAAATAACTTGACATGCCAAATTTGTTTTGGTCCACAACACATGTCAATAATTAAATACGGTGTCTTTTCTTAGTGGGGCTTACCGAAGAACTTGTATTATATATATAAACCAAGTACACAAGCAAAAGACATCCAGATTTTTCCGCAAAAACCAAGCTTTGTTCTTTTTATTGGATTTGCTTTTTCTTTCGGTGCGGACAAGGGGTTAACCACACCAGACTTTGATCCCAACCTCTCATTCCAGGCCATGGTGTCCAATAAAAGGCCAAAATATCTCATACGTATAAAGAATTTTTGGGTTCTGATCGAATCAATTATCGAATAATTGAATTTGAACTTATCTATAATGCAATGTATATGATGTATTGATATCCACATTATATATATATATATATATATCAATATTTTACTTCTACATATTAAAATATAATTCCATGTTATGTATGCATATGTGTTTGTTGGGGTGTCTAATATTAGAACTTTAAACAAGAACAAAAAACCTAACAATTTATAATACTGTAAATTTTATTTTTATAAAAGTGATAATAGACACATTAGCACAACGGTATAGACACTTACATATCGATCTATTTATAAAATGTAAATATTAATTCTTAAATAAAAATATTTTCAAAACTATATTAAGAGGGAAGAATTTTATATTTCAGTCAATTCTCATCTTCATTATGTTATGCAAATTTTCTTGCATTCAGCATTTACTTTTTTCCTTCTAATTTAATCTTAATTTAATTTTATCTCTTTAATTTAGCCTGGTTTAATTTAATAAATTATTAATAATTATAGTATTTACTTTCCATTTATAAAATTTATTTTGATTTAATAACACCCATGTAATGCAAAAAAAACAAAAAACTCACAGATTAGTTAATGACATGTAATTGTAAATACATGTTTACTTAAGAAATTAATAACATTCAACTTTTCCTTGGGAAAACATAAATTACCTTCATGTTTCCGTTTATGAAAGAAAGCTAGGTATCATGACTAAATTATGAAATGATAATTATCGACATGTTAATCAATTAATTACATTGTTTATTTATAATTTTATCACCATTAACCGGCGTATCTCTAGTGTAGATTTTATATCTAGAAGACGATGGTTCCCCGAAGGCTCCGGTTAATGGTTAATATATGATGTTTAAATCTATTTTATTGTTATAAATTATACATTTTAATTAAAATATGGAGGATTTTTTTTTATTTTTATATGTTTGTTGTTATTATTATTTAAAATATTATATAAAATATCTTTATTATTAATATGACTATAAAAATATTTAAATAAAATAATAATAAATACTTAAAAAATGATAATATGAATGTCTTAAAATATGATCTAGTGTGAATTATCAAACAAAGACTAATCTTTTACTCTCTCTCATCATATCCTCTTCCCATCCTCGTCGTCATCTCCCTCTCTGAAACTTTTTGTCATCATAAGAGTGAGAGCCAAAACCCTGTGATCACTGATCAGTATCTCCTTAAATTGAGAGAGAGAGAGAGAGAGAGAGATTTTGCATGAATGATATCACCATATCATAATATCCCCTTTATTCTACCATGGCCTTCCCACCAACTTCTCAAGCATTCATGTTTAACACTCATGAAGAAGTTCATCACCACTTCCCTTCAACCTCCCTCAATGCTCTCCCCTCTTTGCCACCCCAACACTTTCAAGGTTCAGTTAATTATGCCACCAAGTAGGATTATGTCGTTTTAATAACATAGCATTATGTGTGTTGTGTTTTAATATTGCAGGTGGTGCACCTTTCGTGTTGAAGCGATCCATGTCGTTTTCAGGGATTGAAAACAAGTGTGATGATGGAGAGGAGGAGTTATCAGATGATGGGTTGTTGCAGTGTGGAGAGAAAAAGAAGAGGTTGAATTTAGAACAGGTGAAGGCTCTTGAGAAGAGTTTTGAGTTGGGAAACAAGCTTGAGCCAGAAAGGAAAGACCAACTGGCTAAGGCTTTGGGCTTGCAACCAAGACAAATCGCCATTTGGTTTCAGAATAGGAGGGCAAGGTGGAAAACCAAGCAATTGGAGAAGGAATATAAACTCCTCAAGATGCACTTTGAAGCCGTTAAGGCTGAAAATGAGGCTCTTAAGGCTCAGAACAAGAAATTACACGCAGAGGTAATAGTAATAATGGTTCTAGCCTTCAACCTAGTTAATTATCTAGTGTGCTTGGATGGTTGAACTTTCCATACTACTTCCTTTTTGGATCAAAATAATCAAGCTTTTATTATCATTATTATTGGAGAAATGGAAAAGGCCAAAGGTGGGAACATGAATTTATTGTGGATCTAAGGGTTGGTGTTAGTATTCTTGATCTTGATTCGGGTATATATTCAATATTCTTTAAAATAAATAATCATTTGTATGGATCGAGATAGAAGAGTATATATGATTCCGATACTAATATTTGTTCAGCTTGATAGGATTCTTTGATTTTTGAGAAGAAAAGAATTGGGTTAATTTCTTATTCCTCTTTCATCTTTCTCGTTCCACCCTTTATTTAAATTAGTTCCTCTATCTTCTCTTCCTTTAATTGTCGGCAAACAGTTTATTTTATTTTATGTGGACGAATAGTCATTGTTATATTCTAAGTTTCGGTGATCCTTCCTTTACTATGTGGCTGTAAAGTCTAAACTGATATTTTCGTGCTGGAAGAAAGAAAGCATGCCCTTGTTTATTTGACATTTTTAGACGTAAAAAACTTTTTCCTTTTTTGAGTTTTGATGCTATAAATTTACTGCTAAAACTCCATTTCGATTATTGTATTACCATATCTCACATCTATCGGTGACCTTTTAAAGTGACCGATTCCCACATTAACTTGCTGCTTGATTATTAGTTGGCAACTCTTGTGTGAAGAATCTGTGTCACTGTCAGATCACATATAACTGCATAATATTAGTGACAACAATTTTTATCTTTTTATTTTCAAAATTGTGTGTTTTAATTTCACTAGTATGCTACTAAGAACAATAGACATATATAGTTGCACTAGATCCAATTAATGCCTTAAGCCTTTAATAAGTGGAGAAAAACACATGAAGTTGGATTCTGAAGGCATGTTGATGCTTGATCATCTTGACTTGTTTACACTTTTGTAATATGGAGTTTGCAGTTACAAGCTCTAAAGGGTAGGGATTGGTGTGAAGCTGGAACAATCAAGAAAGAAGCTGAGTGTTCTTGGAGCAATGGAAGTGATAACAGTTCAGACATTAACTTAGATCTCTCAAGAACACCGGTTTTAAACAGTCATGTATCTTTTCAGAAGGATAAAAGCCTTCTACCCTCTTCCTTGAAGCCCACCAGCATGACCCAATTCCTTCAGGATGAAGGCTTCTGCAACATGTTTCACAACATTGATGAGCAACAAAACTTTTGGCCTTGGCCTGATCAGGAGCATCATTTCCATTGACCCTAGAAATTATGAGGGCCAAAATAAGAACGTTAACTAGGCATTATACAACCTTTTTTCTCTACCACTTTTTTTATTTTGTTTTCATCCATTTATGCTGTAGATTGTTGTATAAAGTTTGAACAAATTAAATTAATCTACTGAAGTTATGAGGGGTTAATGGTGGACTTTTAGTAGTGCAATTTCTTTCTGATACACTTTATTGTATTACAAAATATAAAATAGTATATTCGTTAGACTGAATTAAAAAATTATTAATGGTAGTTATTGTACATGTGCCTCCTAAGTGGATTTCCAGCTCTGCCATGCAGTATGGGCCGTGAATAAAAATGGGATTCTTTGTTTGCATTCTTTAAAGCATATATTTTATTTCATATTGGTACTTTGGAATCATGAGTGCTAGTGAGACCGTGTTATGAAAAAAAATGCATGCAAAGGCAATGGCAGAAAAGTTCACCTAATTAATGAGACGTGATCAGTGTAGTGATGAAAATTGAAAGGGTGGGTGAAGTGAACGACCTCATCTATGGGCTGAAAAAAGAGCAAAACCTAGCTGGTAGTTTATAAAGCATTACCACTACCAACACCGGGAAAAAAGGGTGGTGAGCACACAATCCAAGAACATAAACTTCAAATTATTTGAACCATTTAATTATTGATATTTTTTTATTATTTTCTTTTACATTTTTAAAAAATATTCTCCAAAGTTTTTAAAAATATTAAAAATTATCTTGTTTAATTCTTTTAGTGTGTCGAGAGAGAAGAAAAGAAAATAATAATAAAAAAAGAAACAAAGCGAAGTAAAGACAAAGATAAAAGTACTACGAATTTGCCGCGGTATCGATTTTTAATAGTGTCGTTTGTAAATTTTAATTTGACAACAGAAACTAGCCCGAATCATATAATATATTGATAAAATACTTTTCATTTTCATTTGTTTTGTTTCTTCAGTGCTTCAATTATTTTATCTCATTCATTTTATTATATAAAATATTATATTATACTAATATAAAGTGAAAATACAATTTCTCATCCACTGATATGTCCTTAAGAAGGTCCATATATGCGACCAACTGCCAAATGACTCTCTCTCTCTCTCTGTATTTCAATTTCGTTTTGGTAAATTTTCTTACAAGCTATTAGTCACAAACTTGATCTAGCAACAAAGATACACATGTTTTCTTAAACAGGAGCAGATTCCCAATAGAATAACAGAGTAAACATTACCAATATAATCATATAGTGCCTACAGCGCTACCGCTCTTTCTCACACACATATGTATCTATATATTATACATGGATTTGTTAAGTTAGGTTCGCATTCATAGATATAATTTTTTTATTTTTATTTTACTTTACTAGAGATGAAGTCTATAATTTAGAAATAGAATTTAAAACACAAAGTTTAGAAATAGAATTACAGGTGAATTTTTATTTTTTTTTAGAATTTTTATCTCACATTACGTATTATTTTAGTTTTGTTTTTAAAATGGGTATGTTAACTAACAAGTTATAATTAGAGTTTTATTAAAATATACTAAAAGTATAACTTATTAACATACTAATTAAAAAGAAGTGTACGTATATTAACATCTATTTTTATTAATGTACACCAGTTTATTTTTTTAAAAGAATATATAAATATTTTATATGTTAGTAAATTCTATATATATGTGTGGCAGTATGTATGGGTCATGCTTGTGTTATAGCTGTCAAAATAAGTCATGACCTGTGGGTTAACTTGGCTTACCATAGGTTTTGAGTAAGCTCAAGTTTAAAAAATAAATTGACTCATAAGGATTTTAGGTTATGTTTGACTTACCCCACTTAAACTTTGGGTTAGGCGAGTCAACTCATGCTAAGTCAGTTTATAGGTTAATTTTTTTAATAACTTTTTTGAATTTATTTCATCTTTTTACGAGTGATGATAGTATTTTTTTTTTTTTTACATATTATTGTTTAATTTTAGTTTTGTTTTTAATTTTTTATTTAGTAAGTGCACTAAGTTAAATTAATATTTTTTTCTCCCTATAAAGTGAGTCAAGTTGAGTTAACTCACTTTTCAACTTAACTTGTATGTTAACCTGTGTGAATTAGAATGACTCAATTTAACAGCTCTATTTGAAGTATTAGCATATTGGTTAATTAAGACCAACCGTACACAAACCAGTGAGGAGGCAAGGTGTTACTAAGAAGGAAATATCCGTTTACATCTGCTGAACACTCATCAAGCTTCTCTTTTTTAATTTAAAATTTTATACGTTGCAGAATACTTATACAGTGACGATATCATACAATCGAAATAATAACATTCTTCTTTTATATATATATATATATATATATATATATATATATATATATATATATATATATATATATATATATATATATATATATATATATATATATATATATATAAAAGTTTAAAAATCAACCTACCAAAAATAACTTCATTGAGAGCATAAAATATGCGATTCAAATGTTCATTTTTGGATAGCTTTTTTTTTTCGATTTTTTTTTTTTTGTTTGCAATAACGCTCTCTAGTATGTTCATTATGACATGTTCATGTATTCATATAATATTCTAATTTTATGAAATTACTCTGTACATAGATTTTATTACAAAGTAAATTTAGATATTTTTATTTAAGCATATACATTAATTACATAGAGTCTATTATTCAATCAACATTCCAACCCATGAAACTAATTCTGATTTTATTCAAAACATAAATTGATAAATGGATTTAGCATCAACAATATTATCTGAATTGAGTGTATACGGTGAATAAAAAAAATTTACATAAATAATAGATATAAGTGATCAAACCAAAAAACAATTTTTGATGAAGTATTCTAATAAAATTAAAGAGTGCGAGCATCACACATTTAATATAATTCTTTTATTAGTTAAAATTTATTAAAATTATAGGTGAAATTCAATAAATTAAATGTAAAACTCACATAATTTTCTGATTTTCAATAAATTTTGTGTAATAATAAAGAGAATATTAAGGAGAGTGTATTAAAATGTTGTTACCGGAATTTGTAATTAACAGTTTACGCAAACACATAACAAAGTCTTTATTGAATGCTGACAAGTGACAACTCTAACTTCAATTAGAAGTATCACCTTCAAGATTTCACAATTTTAAATAATGCCTGAACACTTGACTCATGAGCTGCTGCAATGAAATTTCACGCAAAGGAATGTTTAATGGTGTAAGCTGAGTAAGAAAGCATTGAGAGACGCATTTCATTGTTGGACGTGAGCAAGGATCGGGATTTAAGCATGCAAATGCCACTATGGCTACACGAACTATGTCTAGTGAAACTGACATTGTTGGCTGTGAAAGGCGTTGGTCTAATACTTCACGTAATGTTATGCCATTAGTCGATGCTGATTGAAGCGAAGACAATATTTCCTTAGGATGCCTTCCCACCAACGTTTCAAGTGCCACTACTCCAAAGCTATACACATCACACTTTTCACTCACAACCATTGAATAGGCAAGCTCTGCATTTATGGGATTAACATGAGAAAATTCAAAGATCAAAAGAAAAATAATTAAATAAAAATCTACAATTTGTATAAACTTGATATTCCAAACGAGTCCATTTGCTATTATATACGTTTGATTAGGCAAGCTCTGTATCAAATCATATAAACAAGAGGACATAGCTAAAAGGGAGAGGAACAAAAACAAGAAAACTGAAAAGAGAGATATGAGTAATTTACCTGGAGCTATATATCCAATAGTTCCAGCAACGATAGTTCTGTTGGATGAATCATTGCTGAGGAGTCGAGCTGTGCCGAAGTCAGAAACACTTGGCTCCCACTCTGAGTTAAGCAAGATATTGCTACTCGATATGTCTCTATGCACTATTGTAGGGGTGCAGTCATGATGAAGATATGACAGAGCATGTGCAATGCCTTTCACAATTTTAATCCTCTTTCTCCAATCCAATTCCACTGCTTCCTGATCATCATACAAGACAGAAAACAAGCTTCCTCTCTCCATATACTGATAGATCAAAAACATGATCCTTTTGTGCAAGCAGAATCCATAAAGCTTCACAATATTTCGATGCTTTATTTCTGATAACACTCTCACTTCGTTTCTAAAACTCTCATCCAAAGCAGGCACCTCTGCTTCAAAGCCGTGAAGTTTTTTCAAGGCGACAACGTTACCACTGGGTAATTGTGCCTTGTAGACACTCCCATATGCACCTGTCCCAATGCAATACTTAATGTCAAAGTCTTGGGTTACTCTTATGATGTCTTCGTATGCTATGCTTCCATCGTAATTCCATATCGAAAACAAATCCCCATTCTTAGTTGCCAATGTAGCTGCGTGTTTGTTCTTGATGGCACTGGTTCGTAGTTTTAGATAGCAAAGTAGGAAGATGGCAACAATTAGAAAAGTGAGGATAGGAAGGAGTATGACTAGACGATGCATTAATTTGTTCTTTGGAGCTGGACAAGGTTGTATTTGAAGTTGGATTTGGTAAAGGGAATTGTCACTACATAGATCCTTGTTTCCTAGAATAGCATAAGGAGAGAGACCATCAGGAATGGGACCCTTCAAATAATTGTAGGAAATGTTCAATCTTGGTAAATATGCAAGGTTTGGAGGTATTTCACCAGTAATTTGGTTGAAACTGAGTTCGATAACGCTTATAATTGGAAGATTGCTTAAAGCTGCCAAGGGTTCTAAGTTTCCACTAATTGAGTTATTATCTAGCCGCAACTCTCGCATGTTTGTTAATTGATGAAAAGTAGAAGGGAGGGAACCACGAAGTTGATTGTTGGAAATGTCAAGGCATGCCAATTGGGAGAGATTTGTAAGTGAAAAAGGCAAAGTTCCAATGAAGGAGTTGTCATTTAACAGTAGCTCTCGCAATTTTGTTAATTGATGTAAATTAGAAGGGAGGGAACCATGGAGTTGATTGTTGGAAATGTCAAGGTATTCCAATTTGGTAAGGTTTAGGAGTGAAAGAGGGAAGGTGCCATTGAAGTAGTTGTTAGATATCATTAGGGTCTCTAATTGGGTAAGATTTGCTAGTGAATGAGGAATCTCACCTTCAAGATGATTGTAGGACATATCGAGATAAGTGAGTTTGGGGAGATTACCAATTTGGGGTGGGATAGTCCCTTCAAGTCCACTTCTTCGAAAGTCTAATCTTTCTAAATTCTTGAAAGCTGACAGGTTCAGTGTTGCCAATCGAATCCCTGATGTAATAAAGTACGGATAAGTGATTCGAGTTATGCTTCCAGCATCGTTGCAAACTAAACCATCCCACTCACATACATTGTATGAATCTAACTGCGATTGATTCCACCACCCACTCTTGAGTAGAGCATTTGCTTCCAATCGATGATGCGATGCTAAAGACGCTGCTTCTAACTTCAATACCATCCCCGTAATAATCATACCATAAAAAACGAGAAAGTTAGTCTCATACATATTAGAAACGAAAAACTGCATCCTTTACAAAAAGACTACTAAATAATGGTATTTTACAGAGATTAAACTTTGTTTCTCGCATTTATCCCAATTACTAAACCTTCATCATACTTCTTGTGTGACTAACATGCTTAAACGTAGGATTTGATTGGGTCTTTCTCACATTGACCGTGCGCTCGCATTTGACACGGCATTGCTAGACTTACGTCAACTATGAAGAACTGAATTAATGCATGCATCTAAGTTTTTCTCCGTGGGTCCGTCTGCGTAGACTAACACATTCCGTGAATTGGAATGATGATTGATCAACCATTCCCAAGGGAAATCACAAAGAATTTCTCGGAAAGAGATAAGAAATTTGCAAGGGACCTCATTAATATTCATGGCAATTGGGTACGATTATTATTATTATTGGGTATATGATGAAAATATTTCACAAGCTTGGGGCCTACACCTTGTTGAATAAATCGGACACTGAAGCATATAATTTCTTCAAGGTTTCTTTGTCTTAGTTCAAATGATTGGTTCTCCACATTTGTTTTGTATATGCACCTTTGCTTATATAGAGAGAGATAAGACATTTGCACTTAATTTGGCGACTACAATGTTGGTATTGTTCTCTTAAACATCATGTTGCTCACTTCATTATCCTCAATACTCTACGTCAGAGCAGCAATTGTCATTTTGTGGCTGTGTTTTTGTTTATTTCAGGTCAATATTTCGTGGTTGTGTCGTGTGCCATCCTGATAAAGAAAATGGGCCTTTTCACAATGCTGATGAAATTGGGCCAAGTGCTGAATTTTTATTAAGAAAAGGGCTTTGACTTTGGACCCCTCCATTTTTACTCTCTATAATTGACAAAAAAAAAAAAAAACAACACAAAAGATATTTGCACCCGTGAACTTAAAAAGGTATATTATACTTTTTTTAATTAATTTTTATAATTTTTTTACTTTAAAAATTAAAAAATATTAAGATTTTTTAATTAAATTACTAAATCTACTATCTGCTAACATAAAATTAATGGTAATAATTGTTTTATGTGTAAGAAATGATACTAAACCCTTTCGGTTAGAAGGAATATGGTAGATTTTACTAAAAATAAAATTTTATTTTTTTTAACTTATACATTAACCCAATTTATTAAAAAAACCTAATGAATATATTTTCTAATTTTTATGCATTTAATTTAGCAAATATTAGACGTTAATTAAAAAATTATATCATCTTTACAAACATTTGCTTTAAAATATTTTTAAAAAGTATTATAATATTTATACGATAATTACTGAATGTATTTATCATAATAATTTAAAATTGTAAAAAGAGGGCCGCTGTACATTTTACCCTAATTCTAACATAACTTTTGGGTAATAGAATAAAAACTTCATATTTCACCATTTAGTTCCATCGTGATTATTGCACATAAAACTTTTCATCAATTATATATAATTAATGATATTTTCACTGTACGTTTGATTCAACAATTAAGATATATTTTTTATTTTATAATTTTAATATATTAATGATGTATTCTAATTTAATTTATAATTTTTATGTGCAAATTTTTATTAGATATTTATTATATTTAAATTTATTATTAATAAATATTAAACATAAATATTTAGCTCCATTTACTAGCAAAAAAAATAATATTAAACATAGGATGAATAATTAAATATTTATGATTTTATTTTATATTTATTTTATTTTAAAATAAATATTTATAATGGCATTATTGTAATGTTATAAATAATATATTATAAATATAACAGGCTTATGACATTAATTTTAAGAAATAAAAATTAATATCATTAGTAATAATATATTTAAAAAATAATATATTAATTATTAATTTAAAATAATTATTTATTAATTTTTAAAAAAATTGTTATGAAAGTATTATTTAAAAATAATTTGTCATAACAATGAATAAATTAATCTTTACAATTTTATGTATATTAGTGATAAATTATTGTGTTATTTATTAAAGACAATAAATAATAAATTTAAATATCATCACAAAATTATTTAAATGACAAATTTTAAAGTCTTTGATGATAAATATTATAATCACCATGAATAAATTTTTTATAGTATTTTAACTAGTGAAAAAATATTTGTTCGATATATGCATTATAAGAAAAATATCATTCACTTTAAATAAAATTATTAATTATTAAAATTACATTTAATAATATCATTTTTTAACAAATTTTAAACTATTGACATAAATTTTTAAGGTTTATATTGATAAATAATGTATTATATTAAAACTAATGCTTTAGTAATATATATTAATGTTTGTACTAATAGAATTGATTATTATTATAGAATATCATATTATTAGCTTAAATTCATGATATCTATATTAATAATGCATTTTATTAATAGAAGTTAATATAATATTAAATTGTAATGATAATTTTTAAATAATAATCTACAAAATTTCTTTGTTTATATATATATATATGAAGTAAAATACGAAGAACTTCGAGAGTTTTCGGTAAAAATGACATGATACAATTAATCCAATCGAATACGAACCGTAAAAGCTGTACTAATAAAAGACTGAACAAATTAAAAGTTATAAATATTACAAAAAATTATTGGATTGAGTTTTAATGAAAAAAGGATCGGATCCAATTCAAAACGAATATAATATATATATATATATATATATATATATAATTTTATTTATAAAATTAATATTTCATCTATAATTTTAAGATTATATATTGATAAAATTAAAATATTTAACTATTTTTTATGACTTTATTTTTAAATTTATATGATATAATTTTCTTTAAGAAATATATTTTATATAAAATGTAAGTTTATTTTGAAAATATTACAGAAGAAATAATAAAATAATTTATTTGTTATTTTTAACTAAATTAAAAATAAAATCGTAAAACTAAATTATTCAATCAAATTGAAATTACCTTTAATTGGATTAAATTATATTTATATATATTTTCAAATTAAACTACATTATAATTTTATAATAAAATTAGATAACTTTTGGTCCAAAAGTGGATCTTACTCAATCAAATTAAAGAGATAATGGTGCTTATATTTAATTTTGGTCGCGGAGAAACAACTCTAAACCATGGGCAGCGCTTGTGGTTCTAACAAAATATAAAATTGTTTACGGTGTTTTCTTGATGTACATACAAAATCTTCATACCATATTGCTTGTAGTTATCAATTAAGCCAAAGGTTGATGACAGCATCATGCAGTTCATATAAAAAAGACAAGGAGAACACATTCTCTAGACAAAAACTTACCCACTTTTTAAATTTGCATACCCATTTTAAGTTTCACAAACCTTGATTCCTTTCTTGCAGTTAATTTACACGTAAAAGTTTCCTTTCGTGCAGGTTACACACAGATTTGACATGAATTCTCATCTTCCTCACTCAAGCTTCACAACACGTCTCTCCATACACAACATGCAATATTGCAATATGCTCAACAACGATCATATTTTTACCATTTAATTAATTTACAAATCAACACAACATTGATACTCCAACGTGATCCTCTTCCATTAATTTTGCTATTATATGAAGTATGGCCCTAAAATATCTTAAGACACTCGTAAATGACATGATATGATATATATCATTTTCACTCAACTTATTTTAATTGAACAAATAATAGGTGACCTAACCTTTTAAGCAATGCATACACATAATTTGTCACCATTATAAGCGCATATAATAATATTCCACATCTCTCATATATATAATAAGTATTAAGTTTGCTTTTGTAAGGTTCATTTATAGCATTAACATCTGAGCACTAACAATTTTTCTTCTTGGTTTAGCAATCACAATTAGGAGTGCTCAAAATCGACTTGTAATTTCTTCCCAGACTTAAGTTGAATTTAATTATATATTTTAACTTTAGAAATTAAATTCGACATATTCTAATGACATTTGAATCATACTTTGTATTGTCATAATTTGGTTTGGTGTCCCATATTTATTAAAAATTATTTTTAATGTTAAAATTTATCTATTCTATCAATAAATTAAGTTGATTCAGTCTTATTTCATATATTATTATTTATTAAACCTTACTTTTTGATTAAGTGAAATTTAAGTCCTAACAACTGATCCTATTAAAATTTTAAGTCAAACAGAGATAAATTAAAAAATTTTCCAACACATTCTATCCTAATCTTTAAACCACTACATCTCCCTTCAATTGCTACACTGCATAAAAGGAAGAAAGACATAATATATTTTTCTTGTAGTGAGTAAGAAGGAAGAAAGACATAAAATTCAAGTAAGATTATAATATTTTATAGTAATATATTTTTTCATTACATCAACTATTTTATTACTTTTTCTTAACAATTATAATATTTTTTTATTTCTTCTCCAACAATTTATATTTTTTTTCTCTCTATTTCTAAAAGTGGATCTCACTGAGATTTTGTCTCAGGTACAAGAGTATCTTGAGAGGATTGAGGATCCCTTAGAACCAAATCCCCTGGTTGATTTGGACTTGTTTCTTTTTACTATTTTAGGCTCCGACAGCATTACGTACATCCTTAATCACCTATGATATGCTCTTCACCAACAACTTTAGAATTTTCATGACTAATTTTGAATATATATATATATATAGTTTTGAATAAGATTAATATTTTTTGTAAAAAGCTTATTAGAAAATTTGAAGGTTATTTGTTTCCTTAAATGTCGAGTGGATATACCATCTTTCGAAATTTGCAAAGGGAAAAGAGCTTTTATGAAAGGTGTTCCCAAAATCACTTCATTTTTTAAATTTTTAACAAGAAGAAAGTTTGTTTCAATCTTAAGTTCTTGATTTTCAATTACAGCTTTAGAAAGCTTATAATTAATTTTCAGTTTTGAACCACTAGCAGTGCTGAGTTTTTCAGAGGTTTTTTCAAAATATTTTGTAGGAATTAGTCCTTCTAAAATACAATTTGAATCAGCACCTGTATCAAAAAAGGCCAAAGTGTCAAGAACAAAATCATCAATAACGATTCTGATATTAATGTAAAATTTTTGTATTTTGACCTTGTTGATCAAACACATAAAAGTTTCTTCTAGATCACCAGAATCAACCTTACAGAATCATTATCCTCAGGAAGTTCTACTTTCTCAATGTCAGAATCATCATCTAACTGAGAAAGAATAACTTGATGAATTTGTTGTTGATCTTTGATTTCTCTGATTTCTTTCTTGAGATTATTTATCTCAATCTGGAGGTCTTGAATAGTGGTTGGTTTAATATTAGAATTCTTTTATAATCTTTTGAAAATATCTATGATATCAAATTTGTTTGAAGTAAAATATTCTTTAGGTTTAGGTTTATTTTCTAAAACCTCTTTGAATTTGTTTAAAAATTCTTTTCTTTCTTGGAAATCCGAAATAGAGCTTATAGCTTCAAAAAGAAGATCTTGTTCTTTTGTCAAAACATTGATTTCTGGAGTTTCATCACTGTCAGAAGAAGAAGCTTGGTCATCATTTTGAATTTGGTTGACCTCTTCTTCAGATTATTTATTAGAATCTTCATCAGAGGTATCAGCCAGGAGATTATTGATTTGGTCCTCTAAAGAAGGCTCTAGATTGAGGCTACTAATCTTTTTCTTTAGCCTGCAATACTTACTAATATGGCCAGGTTTACCACAATTGTAACAGGTTACGCCTGTTCTGGGTTTTTTGGGAATATTGGTGGGGATGACATTATCCCCTTGTTTCTTAGGACTGGGTTTTCTATTGTATATGCGCTTATAGGGCTTTTTGTAAGGTTCTACAGCCTCTTTCTTAGGGGCATGTTTCTTCCTCTTGGGAGAGCAGGATGGAAGACCAAACTGTTCGCAGAATGAACCTAATTCTTTCTTGCTCAAAGCTTTTTCTTTAGCAAGTTGATTTTGGAGTTTATCTTTCTGGCAAACTTTAATACCGCTATGGATAATGATAGCAGTAAGTTGACCATAATCATAATTATCATAATTGATTTCTCCAGTAGGAGAGCGACTTCGGAGTTTACTTCTAATAAGGTCTCCGAATGCTTTAGGAAGACCATCAAGATATTTTTCTTTCTAATAGGCTTGGTTGCAATCTTCCCTAGTAAGGACCCTAGACATAAAGGTATCTTTATACCACTTGAAATGTTCTAAGGAATCACATTTGAGTTTTGAAAGTAACTCACCAGATCTTTCCCTCCAAAGAGAAAGATCACCTAGGAAATGTTGGGATATTGTGTATAATAACGTATATATATATATATATATATTGCTTTTGATGTGATAGTTACACGAGGGATGTGGTAGGAGTAAGAGTGAAATAATGAGCAGGTAAGAGGAAGAGACGTTAATGACAATGCGTTGACATAACAGCGATCACTCTTCAATCCTTAGAAACATAGACAATCTCTTTCCCCTCCGCCAATTAATCTCCTCACTACTACCGAATCTTAATTTGAGGCGTAAGAGAGGTGAAACAGAGGGAAAATAAATAAGAGTATAAAAAATAAAACAAAAATAATGTTTAGATGAATTAAATAAGTGGGTTTTTTTTAAAAAAATAATCTGTTTGGATGAATAAAACAGCAAAAAAAAATATTAAAAGAATATAAAAATTAATTTTAAACTAATTTAAAAATAATTATTTTTAATATAATATTTTTCTTAATAGTTTTTACAATGATCATATAATACAAATATTTTAATAAAATAAAGACTACCGTGATTCCCTTTCTCCATTCCTGTCCTCTCTCGTCTTCTTTCTTTCTCCTAGTTTAAACCCATAACACTGCTTAACTTTTCTCTGTAGCCTTTCCTCCATCGAAAGATAGTATAAAATATAAGCTTTCTTCCCTCAGAAAGATATTGTACTGATTTTTATAAAACTAAACACGCAAGCCATATTATTGTTTTTGTGGTATATGCAAAAACCGAATCATATGATCGTCATTACAGAATTCTAGTGTCTCTATGGCATGAAATTTACTTTTTAATCACATTAATTTTGTTCTTCCGTCTAAGTTCTGTATTTTCAATGTTACGCTGGTTTTGTGTCATTCCTCAATTCCAGTAAGCCTGTCCACTTGATGGCAAGATACGCAGCTAAAATATATTACTCAAATTTTCTTAATATCCATAACTTATATACATTATTAAGATGCCTCACATTTTTAAAAAATATAAATTAATAATATTTTTTATAAAGTTCAGATAATCTCTTTTTCTTAAGCCTTGAAAGAAAAAAAAGCAGGAGCAAGAATGTGTATATATTCTACGGTCATTCATCTTAAACAAATATCTAGAGTATATGAACTCAATTGTCGAATACTTGAATTTCTCGGCAAAGAATGTGTATTAATTACGTGATGTCTGCAGAGTGTTGACAAACATATTGGACAAAATACATTCTACGGTCATCTTTCGTTATTTAATTTTCGGTGGTATATATAGTTAGCCAGCTATCTTGGGTGGTGATTGGTGAACCTAGCTCAGCTTCTTTCAACTAAGAATTCAAACGCTTATGAAATATACTTTTTTTATCGCCGAAATGACCCAACCACCTTTTACAAAATGCATGAAATTGAAAAACAATACGCATATTTTGACTTTTATAAAACTCCCAGATGTAAAAGAAAGAGGGAGGGGGGGGGGTCATCGTAAATTGTCAAACAAAGACAAGTGAATGAAATTTACAATATATATTTTAGGAAATAATTATTATACATTTTCTTTTAATTTTGTTACACCTACCTGTTTAAGAGAAGAACCTAATATCTATCTATCTATCTATCATTATTATTATTATTATAAAAAAGTATTGTAAAAATATAATAGATAATCGACAAATAATTCGTGGAGTACACTGTACATGTGTGTGTATATATATACGGTAAAATTAATAAAACTTATTATTCTCGAGCTATATTAGTCACTCGAGTTTTGTTCTCAAGTTATTCAATTAACAGATTATTATCACCGATTGTTTAAATCAACAAAATTTGATTTGTAGTTTAAATTTGAATTCCAAAAATAAAATTAAATACTTGGAAAAAATGTATACATGTAATTTAGATAAAATAAAAATAATAGATGTCATTTGCCTTTTAAAAAAAGAAAGAAACTTAGCACACTTAAATCTGTCTTTTTCTAATTTGTCCTATTAATTACTTGAAAATACGTAATACAGTAATTTTTAAAAAGTTATTAATGGGAATTTTAAATGCCCTTAGTAAAAATCACAGTAAAAATATATGAAAAATCATGATAAATGTATTAATATACTTTTCCATAAAGCTTTTCTCTTTTTTGAGTAATAGCTTATTCTCATTTTTCTATTCCGAACAATATTGGACCGTCACCTAAATTTCTGGTGCCTGTCGTTGATCGGTCACTCTTGCCGTTCCTTGTTCCTATAAAATCAGTTAAATTTTAAAAGGTAAATTACCACGTTTCAGTAGCAAGTTATCGCTAGCACGTCTCTATCGTTTGCATTTCGTCTTTACCTTAGTTTCTTTAAATTTCCTCTCAATTCTATTTACTGTATATACATATATATTTAGTTCCGTTTCCGCTTAATTCTCAAGTCATAAATTAAACTTGAGTGGTTTCATATCTCTCATATTGCGAACCAAAAACAAATAGCACTATGGAACACATAAAAGTGGAGCAAGCAGAACCTGTTAGTCCTATGGGACAATACTTTAACAGCTCTGTGCTAAGCGTATATATTATTGGAGTTTTAGAATTTGAAGTTCCAATTGATGATCTGCAAACCTTTGCTCTTGTTAAGGATGTTTTCCTTCCCATCAATCCACGCTTCTCCTCCATCATGGTTTAATCTCTTTTCAACTTGCTTCCCTTATTGCATTATTTATTTATTATAAGAATAGTAGTTTTATGAACTTAAGAACATTATTATACAACGAGATGATGTTTGATGTAAAATAAAACACGAAATTTTAAATCCCGCAGCGCTATATCTAAGCCAATTCCTTTATATAGGTTTGTATATACGTTGCATTATTATTATTTGCATTTTATTGCATTTTTGTTTACTTAATTAATACGTGGTTCATCATCAGATTGATCATCTCATTCATTTAGTTTATCTTGACTACATTATTCAAATAAATGAAACCAGGTCCAAGATAAAGATGGAGAGAAACGATGGAAGCAAGTTGATGTAAATTTGAAAAACCATGTCCACATTCCCGTATTCCCTGAAGGCAAAACAGTGGGATCCTACGACAATATTTTTCATGACTATTTATCAAGCATAGCAATGGAGAAATTACCACAAAGCAGACCATTATGGGAAATTCACATAGTCAATTACCCCACAAGTGATGCATCTAGCACTATAATATTTAAGCTTCATCATGCACTTGGAGATGGTTATTCTCTAGTGGGGGCACTTCTTTCTTGTCTACAACGGGCTGATGATCCCTCTCTTCCCTTATCCTTTCCTTCTCTCAAACAATCCAAACAAGAATCTTCAAACAAAAGCTTTTGTACAAAATTTTCTTGGATGTTGTCCTCAGCCTTCAACACTGTGTCAGATTTTGGATGGAGTGTATTGAAGAGTAGCATCGTTAGTGATGACAAATCACCAATAAGATCAGGAGATGAAGGAGCTGATTTTCATCCAATTTCCATATCAAGCATGACATTCTCCATTGACCAAATCAAAGACATCAAATCCAGGCTTGGAGTGGTATGAAAACAATTTAAATTAAGTTTATTTAATGTCGTTTAATTTAAACGTAAAAATAAAAATAAAAATATGTATAAAAATTAATTTATAAATTTTTTATATACAAAAACTAACTTAAGTCAATAATAAGGTCAAAAATATTATTTAAACCTTTTTTAAGGCTAAGATAACAAACAAAATTTTACACATTTTATGCAATTAAATGTATACCTTTCGATTGCAAGTTTATTTGAATAATTATGTGTGTAGATTAACATAAACTATATTTAAAGGATGTTGCCTAATTTTAATTAGCAATATTTAAAAATACGGATCATTAATATTATAATTTTCAAATTCATTTAAATTTTTGGTATGATAACATTTTTTGTCTCCTAAATTTTTGTTTAAATTTTTTTCTCCTGACTTTGCACCCATGGTGAAAAGTTATATAATTAAATTAAACAAAGAAAAATACAGGATTAGAGTAAAAATAATAAAAACATGAAAAAAAAAATAAAATAAAAATGTAGATAATCAATATGTTTTATGAGAATTTAAATTATAGCTGATCAAACAATTATAAATGTCTAGTGGGTTGATAAAAATATTAAGTATAATTATAAGATCAAATAATGATAACTTAGGAATATTGTGGAAAATAAATAAATTTTTTAATTTCTTAAAATAATTAATTATACAAGTTTCTAATTAGAGGAAGTAACATTTATAAAGAGAATTGAATTTTAGCTATAAAAATAATACAAAATTAATAGATAAAATATGTCTCATATATAAATTCTATATTGTTTAACTTCTTAAATGTATAAAAAAATAAAGATGATAAGTGTAATGTTAAATTATAAATATTTATATTTGTCTATTTAATGGATAGATTGAATTTGTGGGATGATGAAATTTTAAAAAATTCAAAGCAATAAACTAATTTGATGATGAAACGACTAAATTTTCTTTAAAAATATGATTAGGTCTTGAAATTTATCAGACCTCAAAAATAGGAATATATATATATATATATATATATATATATATATATATATATATATATATATATATATATACACACATGCTTATTATTCTGCATCTCACAGTATCTTTTGGAATTCAGATCCCGCGACCTAACTCATTTATGCGCATGTTAGGAAAATGATTTTTCAACAACTCTTTTGTTTTATGTAAGAAAAATATTATTACATGAAGTATAAGGGTATATCAATCCTTCTACAAAGCATACCTGAGACAGTGAGACTACTTATCTATTATTCCTCTAGTCTCAATTGTAATAAATAAACAAAAACCAAACTCACGTGTTTTCTGTACAGCTGAAAAAATATATATTTGTGGGCAAATAATATGTATGTAAAAAATAAAAATATTTTATATTATATGTAGTGTCAATATTTTGTAGTTTAAATATTGAAACTAGATCACTTTTTCTACCATCACTTTATAAGCACAGGGATGTTTTTCTTTCCCATTCAACAATGACATGTAGCTCTGACTAAAATGTTTTTTGGTCAAAACCATGTTCTAATTATGTATGATAAGATACAAACAAAAGTGATAAAAATTAATAAAAATTATATATAATATTATTTCTTTAATATTTAAATAATGAAACTAGCATAAATTAATGACATGTAATTATTATCTGCTTTCTGTTGATACCTTAATTATATTAATAACATGAACTTTTCTTGGTTGGTTCTGAAAGTAGAATATCATGTTTTCTTTGCATCATTCTATTTAATTGCAGACGATGAATGATGTGATCACTGGAATTGTGTTCTATGGGACTCGGTTATATATGCAAGATATGGACTCCAAATCAAAAACCGCGAACTCCACTGCATTGGTACTACTAAATACGAGAAACATTGAAGGTTACCAATCAATCAATGATATGCTCAGTACCAAAGCCAAGGGTCCTTGGGGTAATAAAATTTCCTTCTTGCATGTGCCAATACCTAAATTAAATCAAAAGACACTTTCAAACCCTCTAGAATTCATTTGGGACTCTCATAATATAATCAAGAGGAAGAAACAGTCCTTAGCTGTTGCCCTCACTGGGTCACTTTTGGACATAGAGAGCAAATTCAGAGGACAAGAGGTTAGTGCTTTTAGTTAGATTTAATTTTATTATGATATTATTATGTCTCTTACCAATTCCATCTGTTCTTTTGTTCATTTAGCTTTTATTTTCCCAAATTTCTGTCTCACCTTGAAATGCATTTGATTACAATAAATATTTATTTATTTATAAATTAGTCTTTATATTTTAAAAAATTAACATTTTAGTCTTTATATAACTATTTTCTTTTCTGTCATTATAATATTATTAAAAATAAACAATAATTTTTACTGATGATATTATAATGGCAGAAATTAAAATTGTTATAAAATATTTATATAGAAATTAAAATATATATATATATATATATATATATATATATATATTTAACTTGTATATATGATAAGAATTAAGCTGGATCAGAGTGGTTCAACCATGTTGGTTCAATGTTGTTGAAGGCAGTGGCTAAACACCTTCGAGGAACAGTAACAAAGTCAAGTGCAGTGATTTCAAGCTTGGTTGGACCGATACAACAAATGTCTTTAGCCAATCATCCTGTGAAAGGCTTGTACTTCACATTGGCTGGTGGACCTGAGGTATCCCCTAAACTTCCTTCCAACTTTGTATAAACCATCTGTGCGAACAAGAATTTAAGTAGCATATGCTGTGGTGTGTTGAGGTAGAAAAAATAAATTAATCTCTTTCTTTTAAGGTATGGGATATGATTAGAAGTAAGGTTCTCGAGACAAAGAAAAATAAGGGTATTTTTCTTTAATAAATAGTTTTTTAAGATAGAATATAAAAATAATCAACACATATTTAACTTTTTTAATTTCTGTTTATTTTCATATATATTAGCTAGCGTTAAATATATTTGTAATCTTTATAAAATTTTTCAATTTTTTTTGCTAGAAAAAGATTATTCAAATTTTATTTTAGTTCTTAACTAACTTTTATTCTTTCTATCTTTATATTTAAGAAAAGCAGTGTATTTTTAGTCCTCCATAAAAAATTTAAACACATGATTTTTGTATTTTGTATGAATTAAAAATTAATAAAATTTAATTAATTATTAAAATTAAATTCTTATACTATTATTAGGACTAAAAATACATTTAAACCTTAAATATTATATAACTTTATTATTTTAAAAAAATTAACATTTGAGTTTAATTTCCTTTCCCTCCAAAGCATAATGTATGAGGAAAACAAATGTGATTAAGTAATCCAATAAAGGCAAAAATCAGAAACATTTAAAGAAGGCAATTTCTTACCCAAAAGATTCAAGTGTGAAATATATAAATGATCTATATTTAAACACTATATAATTTTATGGATTGCAGAGTCTGGCGATTTCAATTATGAGCTATGTGGGAGTGCTTAGAGTTACCCTAAAAACGGAAAAAGACTTCATAGATGAGAAGAAATTGAAGTCATGCATGCAAAGTGCATTTAAGATGATACTCAAAGCGGCAACAGAAGTTCCTCCCAAAACAAAAACATTTGTGTGCTCCCCATCAAAGTAGAAGTCAAGATTCTTGATTATATTTGTGTTGGATAATTGGTATTGCTTATTACAATATTTTTTTAAAACAAAAGTATCGCGCCTGTTACTATTTCACAGGTTAATTGGCTCCTTGATTATTAAATTAATATGTTATGTGTATGCTTTGAAGCTTAATGAATGTGGTCACTTTTCTCTCTGCCAACTTTGGACATATATGTTGTTATTTATTTATTTATTTCCTATTAGCCAAAAGAGGTTATTCTAGAGAGAATTATATTCTGTACTAGTTCTTAGTTGCTTTAATTTTCTTATGCATGTAGAAAAAAAAAATGTAAAACGAAATAACTTCAAAAAGCTTACCAACAAAAATGGAGGAACCGTTAAGGGAAAAGAAGAATGAAAGACAAATCACGAGAGAAGGAGAATATCAGCATTAATTTGTTTGAATTTTGAATCTAATTGAAGATGAAAAGTTAGAAGTAAAATTTTTGAGTTATTTACTGTGAATAGAAATACGAGAAAAAGCAATAATAATACTAATAATATTTACTATTTTAGTCTTTACCTCAAAAATAAAGAAAAAATGAGGAAAGGAAAGAGAGAGGGACATGGGAAGGAGAGGATGATTTTTTTTATAAAATTTATTTATGTTAATCAAATATTTATAGAATTTTAAAAATATAAACATTTAAAATAAATATTTTAATAAAAACATTATAATCAAAAATAATTTTTGTGTTAAATAATTATTGTTTAATTAAATTATTATTATCATTATTATTATTTTTACGGTGATTTTTACTCATGTAAATAAGTAAAATATTTATTCCCTGTTGTTATCTGTTATTTTTATTTATTTAAATAGCATTTTTTTTACCTTTAAGGTGTACTATATTCTGTGGGACATATCCTTTTGTTTTATATTTCAATTGAAATATTTTAAAAATATTTTCCGACCATTCTAACAATTTCTGTAAATGTTTCGGTTTTGGATAAATCAACTACGTGGAAGATTGCTGACAAGAAAAACCGAGTATGAATATTTGGATCATTTACTGCTTTCTTTCTGATTTATCTTATTTATTTATATAAAGTGAAAACATATTAATTAAAATACAAGAACTGAAAATGCAATTAAATCTTTATTTTTTTTCTCTGGAAAATCACATGATATGGTGAATAACTTGTTTTTGTTTTTCTTTTTTCTAGCTTTTGCCAAAGGTGTAAAGCCAATAAGCCATGATTAATAGTTCTTTTTTCTTTTTCAGATGTTAGGGACCTGAAATTTTCAACATCTACAACACTCGCTTTTGATTCCACGTTGCTGGGGGAAGGGACCATTTAACCATGAAATGTAGAGTATGAAATGGTTGAATTTATTAGCATTATATGACAAACATACCTGTCAGCTTTAATTTTGTTCTTTAATTTTCGGTGATATGCAGTTACCAGTTAGCCATCAATATTCAGTGCTTATTGGTGTACCTAATTCAATGTGTGATTCTTTAAGCATCAATCTCATCCTTGCATTTATTTTATTCCTTTATAACTTTATCTTTTAAAATTAATGTAATAAATTTTTATATATGATAGAAACTATAATTCCACACTCTGCAGTTTCTTTTCAATCTTTATCAATAATCGCCCAATCTTTATCAATATGAAAAGCAATAGGAGTATTTTGACTTTCAAACTAAGAATTTTTTATAAAGAAAAAAAATCATAAATGACCAAATATATTAAAGTCAACTTAAATTGTAAAATACATTTAGGAAAGTAATTCTTGTATGATATCATTTGAAAGTATGTCATAGCACAGTAATTTCTATTTGACATCATGATCAGTAGACATTATAAACTAACTGAATCACACAAGCTGTGAAAATAAGAGAAGAGAAAAAGGGTTTGTATTTCACTCAATATTTCATCAAACATGATAACATTACATTTGATTTACAGCTTGCCTTTTTACAGGGAAATACATATAAAATATATATTGAAAGACCTAACGACTAATATGGATTAGAATTTGACTCTGAAATATAGAAAAAAAAAAAACAATTATTTCATACTCTATTTGACGTGTGAAATGAATAAAAAAAAAAGAGATAAAAAAATATAATAATTACTGAATATTTAGTCAAATTGACAGTAATGACAAAGGATTTGAATTTGGCGGTGTCAGCTAGCTGTGCATTTTAACTCGCAGTGGGGTGCTGATCATTATGGTCCCATTGAAAGACTTCCTTCCATATTAAGTTCTTGCAACCTCTGCATGGTTGCAACACCTATAAAATTTTGTGTGCTTCATTTATTTATTGGCCAACACTTCTCGAAAAACAATGCTTCTAACTTGTATATATTATCTCGCCTAAATTTCTGGTTCTTATATTTATAGTTGAATCTGTCAATTTTGCACTACCTTGTTCTTATCAAAGTAAAATCAATCTTTGTCACGCTGGCACGTCTCTATCCCTTGTTCTATACACTATATATATGGTTTCATTCTCCTTTATTCTTAACTCAAAAAATTCAGGGGTTTTTTTTAACATTCATCTCTCTGATTGCGAACCAAAAATTTTAAATATAGCACTATGGAACACCAAATGGAGGAGCAAACAGTACCAGTTAGTCCTGTGGGACAATACTTCAACAGCTCTGTGCTATGCATCTACGTTATTGGAGTTATAGAATTTGAAGTTCCAATAGATGACTCGCAAGCCTTCACTCTTCTTAAAAATGTTTTCCTTCCCATTAATCCACGCTTCTCCTCCATCATGGTTTGATCTCTTTTGCTTTCCTTATATACACTTAATCATAGACATAATTAAGAATGCCATATTAGAATATGATTATATGTGTAAGATAAAACAGTTTCTATTTGCGTTAATATTTGCTTTGTGACTTTTGTTGCATCTTTACTTAATATGTGGTTCATCATCTCATCGTCAAGTTAATAGACCCAATTTGATCATTTACTCATTAATAAGTATTCCATATATTTGGTTTATTTTTACTAGCATGGTTCAAATATATGACAACAGGTCCAAAATAAAAAAGGAGAGAAACGATGGAAGCAAGTTGATGTAAATTTGAAAGACCATGTGGACATGCCTGTATTCCCCGAAGGCAAAACAGTGGAATTGTATGACAAATATTTTCATGATTACTTGTCAAGCATAGCAATGGAGCAATTGCCACAATGTAGACCTTTATGGAAAATTCACATAGTCAATTACCCTACAAGGGATGCATGTAGCAGTGTAATATTTAAGCTTCATCATGCACTTGGAGATGGTTATTCTCTAATGGGTGCACTTCTTTCATGTCTCCAAAGAGCTGATGACCCTTCTCTTCCCTTATCATTTCCTTCTCTCAAACAATCGAAAGAAGAATCTTCCACCAAAAGCTTTGGCAGAAAATTTTCTTGGATGTTGTCCTCAGCCTTCAACACTGTGTCGGATTTTGGATGGAGCGTATTAAAGAGTAGCATCATTAGTGATGACATAACACCAATAAGATCAGGAGATGAAGGAGCTGATTTTCATCCAATTTCCATATCAAGCATGACATTCTCCATTGACCAAATCAAAGACATCAAATCCAGGCTTGGAGTGGTATGATAACAATTTTTGGTTGTTGAAATTTTGTTTTTTGGTTTTCACCCTTTCAACCGCCAATAAGAATGCCTAGTCTTTATTAGATCACCTACTTGTCAGAGTTATTATGTGGATAGAGTTTTGCAAGATATCTTCATACTTATCATCTTAGTAACTTTTCTATTTTATAAAACAAGTATCAAATTTTATTTTTTTATTTTATTAAATAAATATTAAATAAAAAATATACATTTATTATGCTTAAATTTAAAAATTATTTAATATTTTTATTTAATTATTAATTAGATTTATAAATATATAAAGTAAGAAAAATTATAATCTGATGGGACCATGATCTGCGTGTCATAGTGCATTATATATTACTTCTCAATATCATTAAAAATCTAGTGCAGAAATCTAAAGAAGTTGTCCACTTAGTATCATTAAAAATTATGATTAGCTCTTCAAATCTGTTAGTTTCCTGAAAGTTTATTAGACATTCTTTTAAGGGGTTGCATTGGTTTTGGAACAACCTTATTATCTCTCAACCTCAAATCAGACCATACTCTGCATCTCACTACAACCTTTTCTTGGTTGCATTTGACATTGGATTGCCTTGTTTTCTTCTCATGATTGTCTCTAATTGCAGACTATAAACGATGTGGTCACTGGAATTGTATTCTATGGGACTCGGTTATATATGCAAGATATGGACTCCAAATCAAATACTGCACACTCCACTGCATTGGTATTACTGAATACAAGAAACATTAAAGGTTACCAATCAATCAATGATATGCTCAACACTAAAGCTAAAGGTCCTTGGGGTAACAAAATAACGTTCTTGCATGTACCAATACCAAAATTAAGTGAAAGCAAAATTTCAAGTCCTCTACAATTTATTTGGGATTCACATAACATAATCAAGAGGAAGAAACAATCTCTAGCTGTTGCCCTCACCGGAACACTTTTGGACGTAGAAGGCAAATTCAGGGGACAAGAGGTTAGTACATTTGGCTGAATTACATTTGATCATAATATTATCAACGTACGTTAATGCTAATTAAGACACTGAATATTAAAAAATTAAAAGTAAAAATACTTTAATTAAAATATCATTAATGCTTCTTTTTTATAATTTCAATGCAGATAATTTTTTAACCGTTAGACATTAATTATATATAAGCAGTTTAATCAGAATTTGTTTTTGTTACAGGCAGTAGCTAAACACATTCGTAGCACATTGACAAAATCTAGTGCAGTGATTTCAAACTTGGTGGGACCAGTACAACAAATGTCTTTGGCTAACCATCCTGTGAAAGGATTGTACTTCACATTGGCTGGTGGACCCGAGGTATATTTCTTATTCCCCTTCTTTGTTTACCTAATCAATATAAGACAATCTGGATTGAATGCCTTCTTTTAGATGATGAAAAAACGTATACAGTATCTTTTCTTAAATTAACTTTTGAGATATAAGTTATTAAGTTAATTTTTATTAGGCAATATTTAAACATCATTTAATTGTGTGGGTTGCAGAGTCTTGTGATTTCAATTATGAGCTATATGGGAGTGATGAGAGTTACCTTCAAAACGGAAAAAGACTTCATAGACGAACGGAAGTTGAAATCATGCATGCACAGTGCATTTGAGGTAATACTCCAAGCAGCTATGAAAATTCCTCAAGAAACCAAACATTAGCGTGTACTCACCAAAAATGAAGGTCAAAATTCTAATGTTTTATTTGATATATTTGTTTTGTGTATGCATTGAAAATTAATATACGATGCCCACTTATCTACTTTGGATCTGTATGTATGTTTTCTTCTTTTTCTTGTCTTTCTCCAATTAATCTGACGACGATTTATAAGTTTCTTGTTTGTTTGACTTTGACTAAATAAGGTTATAATCCTAAACACCCAATATAACATAATATGGAAATATAAAAAAAATTAAAACCATCCATTAGACCTTAAATTTTAAGATTATTTATCTTTATACACTCCACGGTGTCTTACTCTCGCCCACGTACAAGCATGAGAAGTTGGGCATGAAAAGATAATACCGTAAAGAGATTTAAAAAGAAAAAAAAAAGAAAGAATGATGATGTCAACAGTGTAGAAAAATCGATGTCCAAAAATTAAAACCCAATTTTTAATATGCAACATTTGAAATTAATTCATAAATAAAAATACAAACATTAAACTTAAAAAAGGATATTATTGTCTTTTAAAAAATGTATTATAAAATACAAAAAATAATATTGTCTAATATAAGAATTAAAAATTTATAAGTAAAATCTTATTTTACGGGATACAAACGAAAATTATGAATGATACTTGAAAAGAATTTATTGAGTGATATTAGTGCAACTATTTTGAAGTATTTATATTGTTTTACTGACAAAAATATTTATCATTTTTATTTCTTGAATTCTGTTATTAGATTAAAATCAATTATCAAAACGTTTGATTACTTGAGTTCAAATCCTGTGTAAATTTTTGAACGAATTAATTATTCAAAATGAACCAAGTTGCTTGCACGAAGAAAGGAGTTAATCTTGGATCATATACCAGCTGACTTGAATAAATATCCTTGAAATACAACAGAAAATCAAGAGGAGTGGTTGATCTTTGTTAAAATTAGTTAAACTATATTATGACTAAGTTTGAGTATATTTTAAAACATATCTTCATATAAAAATAATATTTAAAATAATAATTTTTTTCTTATATAAGTTATAAATAATTTATCTCTTTAAAATTTAAATAAGCTAAATAAGAGAATTTAATAAATAAATAAATGTTATTTTTTATTAGAAAGTTTATTTAAACTGGGAGTTATATATGATGAAAAAGGAATGCTTAAGATGAGCCTAGTCAATAATTTTTATTATTAGCATATTTAAATTTGTATTTAAATAAACAAAAATTCATTTTTACTTTATCATTACTACTTGTAATTTTTACGTTTACAAGATTTTCAATATGTTTTTTTTAACACATTTTTACAAGTGTTCTCGGGTAATGTGAAGTTTAGTTCCGATGAATAAAATGCACAATAAAGTCACTTAAATAAATGTAATAAAGATGCAATAAAATTAACTTCTCACCCTTCCCAAATTTAGTTTTTGATTCATAGGCCAAATAAAGAGTTGATCTTGGATTGTAAATAAAGTTGAAGGCAACTAAACAAATTAACATTACAAGATGAAGAAGCTTGATTTATAGCTTACGGAAAAATAAATCCCGAATTAAAAACGGCTACACAAATTAGAAGCCTTACAAATGTAAATAAAAATATAAATACAAACACAGATTGTATTTAGCAGGACACACACTTTTACTTTTAAATTACACAACCACGCTATTATCTTACGCTAATTGAAACTAATTTTTTTTTCTATTACATAAACACTTTGAAATTATTTATTCTAAAAGCTTTTACTAATATTATTGGTATATTTTCTGTCAATTTTCACTGTCATTTATCTGTCAACAATATAATATTCAACACAACTTAAACACAATTCCTTGTGTTGTTATAAAGTAAAGAGTTTAATCTCGACAGTCTGTAATAGCATTAAATGCAAATCTTTCGTTAAAATGAAATTATAATATTAATTAATGAAAGCAGTTAACAATACATAAGTTTTATCCTATAACATACTACCCGAGCAAAGTGTAGGTTTTTATCTAATTTGTTACAATTCCCGATCTACTATCTGCCTTAGTGAAATTTCTTCAAATGGTTTGGTTAATCGGGGCTTTCCGGTGACAAGGATGTCACACACTACTTGCATTGTTGGTCTAAACTTTGGTTGAGAATGAAGACAAGCAAAGGCTAGTGTTGCTATGAGAACTAAACTCTGAGCAGATTGTTGATTGATGGTGGATATTAGTCTTGGATCTAATATATCTTTAAGGAGAATTTCTTGAGTAGATTCAGATGTTAATGAGGAAACAAGTTCTCCAGGATGCTTTCCCATGACAATTTCAAGAGCAACCACTCCAAAGCTGAAGACATCACATTTCTCAGTCACACAATCACAATAGGCAAGTTCTGCATCAAAAAGCAAAACCAACCTAGTAAGAAAAAACACACCCTTTTGAGAATAAGGGAAACTGAAGCAGCCATCATATAACAAAACCTCACCTGGTGCAATGTATCCATAAGTGCCAGCAAGTAGTGTTCTATTGGAGGAGCTAGAGTTTAGGAGTCTGGCTATGCCAAAATCAGAGAGACAAGCCTCCATTCGTATATTCAAGAGAACATTTTTGGTTGTTACATCTCTATGAATAATTGCTGGCTTGCAATCGTAGTGAAGGTATGACAAGCTATGCGCTATGCCTTTCACAATGTTCACCCTCTTGGTCCAACCCAACTCCTTAGCTTCAATGTCATTGTGCAACACACAATATAAGCTTCCCCTTTCCATGTATTCTAGAACCAGAAACATGCACCTATTGTGCAAGCAGAATCCATAAAGCTTCAAAATATTTCTATGCCTTATCTTTGTCAACATTCTCACTTCATTCTTGAAAATCTTCTGGATTGCTGACTGGTTGGCTTCTAAAATGTGGAGTTTCTTCAAGGCCACTACTCTACCTCTAGGTAGTTGTGCTTTGTAGACACTACCACAACCACCAGCCCCTATGCAATATTTGATGTCAAAACCTTCTGTTGCTTTAATGATATCTTTATATGCAATTTTACCATCATAGTTCCATATTGAAAACATGTCACCATTCTTTGTTTCTTCGGCTTCAGACTTGCAATTGCAACTACCAACCTTACACCAGCAGAGGAGCACATACACAAAACAAATAAGAGCAAGAAAAGCTGTGAGCGGAAGGAAAATCTTCATGTGGGTCCAGAATATATTATTTGTTCTGCTAGGAGAATAACAACTGCGGAAGGGGGTGTTGTTGCCACATAAATACTCATTGCCACTGAATGCATCTGGTGGAAAAGAATCTTGGAGATCATCTGGGATCTCATCCTCTAGAGAATTATGGGACAAGTTTATCTTCCTCAATAATGCTAGGGAATTGGGAATGCTTCCACTGAGTTCATTATAACTGAGATCCAAGGTCCTTATGTATTTCACATTCCCAAGCTGATGGGGTATCTCTCCTATGATTGAATTATGACTCAAATCAATTAAAGCTAGTGTAGCAAGATCTCCAACATGAGAGGGAATGGTGCCAGTTATATTGTTATGGCTCAAAGCCAACACCTGAAGGTTAGAGCAATTTGCAAGACTGGCTGGAATTTCTCCACTCAACATGTTTCCTGACAGGTCTAGGACTAAGAGTTTGGACAGTTTTCCAATGCCTTGAGGTATTGAACCAAAAATTTTGTTATCTGAAATATTCAGATACTTCAGTTGGCTCAATTGGGTAGTATCAATTGGTAACATTCCAGAAATCTCATTGTTGGACAAGTTTAGTTCAGTCAAATTGGTTAACTTATCCAAAACTGAGGCTACTTCACCAGTGAGATTGTTAGTGCTAAGATCAAGAATCAAAAGGTTGTTCAATTCCCCTATTTCTAAAGGTATAGAACCATTCAACTTGTTCATACTAAGACACAAATATTTCAATTTCTTCAATAGACCAATCTCCACAGGTATTGGACCAATGAAACAATTATAACTTAAACTCAATTGAGTCAGATTCCTCAGCCTTCCTAACTCTAAAGGGACATACCCAACAATCAAATTGCTATCAAGAAACATAGAGTTCAGCTTAGTCAACTGCCCCACAGAAGGTGGAATTGAACCATTAAGCTTGTTTCTAGACAAATTCAGGGTCACCAAATTACTTAGATTCCAAATGTTTAATGGTATAGGCCCCTCTATATCATTAGAAGATAGGTCAAGGTGAGTGAGTTTGGAAAGTGTACCTAGTCCATGTGGAATACTCCCAGCGATTCCATGTGAAGCAAGGTTGATGTGGACAAGGTTTGGGAAACAAGAGAAGTTGAATCTCCAAAACTTGTTTCCCAATTGAACTTCTGCTGGCAAAGAAATGTTTGTGATACTTCCAGCATTGTTGCATGTAATGCCTGGCCATTGGCAACGACTAGGAACATGGTTTGTGTAATCACTCCACCACTCACTTTCAATCAGAGCTTGTGCTTCTATGTCTAGTGGTGATGATTCAGATGCTGCATCTGACACAATTACAATGCTTAAACAAGTCCAAGAGATAACAAGTACATTGTACCAAGTTCCTACCATCGTATAATTGGGAATTGGCAATGCCATGACTAGGAGTATGACAAAAGATGTTTTAATTTGATGTATATAAGGTTGATCCTCAACTTCAACGTAAAGCATTAACTGATTTTAGAAGCCAAAATTTGTGGGTCAACGCGGCTTTTAATCATTGACCACACATATCATGTGCTGATTAAAGATACTAACGAGAAAATAGATACAAAAAACAATTACGCAGAATGTATGGTCATGATTGAATATCTGAAGTACAGATACTGAGATACACTAACCTATGCCATGGTCAATTTGATAAACATTTGTAATATGAATTAGGACCAAGCTTTTGCACTTTTAACAGCTAAAATCTGCACTTTTAATTTTTTTCTAAATGAATTTGAGAATTTATTAAAAGGATTTTTACATTGTGTGACGAAAAAATTTGAGAAGGTTAAAAATAAAAAATTTAAATATAAAAGTTATGTATTCTATAAAAATATTTAATATTAATTTTTTAAATAATTTTAACATTTAATAACATTTGAGAAGAAGTCACGAAAAAATTTTATTTGTGCTTCCTCCAATTATTGCTCATGCCTAAATTGAATAAATTAAACTCCCATTTTTGTATCATCGAGATCTTCACTTCCAACTTTGACTAGGGTCTCAATAGAACAGCTGTTTCTCGATAGGATAACAAATAATTATTTTTTCTTTCAAAAAGTATTTTGATTAAAATAAACTATCAAGTATTCAAATTCGCATACTTTGTATAGACAATGAATATAACTCACATTTGCAGTTACATAAAAATATGTCTGAAAAGAATAACCTCGGGAGGAACATTGTCTCTGCTTCTGTATTCGCAAATTGATGTTGTAGTTTTAGAGATATGCTAAGTATTTTAGATAATCTACTTGACCAACATCTCTGAGCAGTCAAATTGTTAGTTTTTTTCCATAATATACATAATTACTGAGAAGAAATTAACTTATACTGTTTTAAGTTAAATAAGTTTTTAGAATTTTATTAGAATAAACAAGTATTATTGTAAAAACAATTATATTATCATCTAATCTTGAAGTATCATAGTTGTAAGAATTATTGTCATTTGCAATTTATCATTTTTAATTGTTTTTTCAATTATTATATTACATCTTTGATATATTTTTAATAACAGTTATATATTAAAAAAAAAAAAAAGCTGTTAGTTTCCCGTTTATCGTTTGTAATATTTGACGTTATTTTAAATTTGATAGATAACTACGTAGAGAATCTACTCATTATATTAAAAATATTATTCAATAAGAGTGTTGAACTAAACAATAAGGTATTAAATACAAACTCTATAATTTATAAAGCATACTTTTCCTGTAAAAATAGAATTTTTAAAAAAAGTATTAAGGTGGCAATGTGCGATGATAAAGCAAAATATAAGGTAATAAATTGCCAAAATTTTATTATAAAGGGGCATAAAATTTTCTTGAGCTAAACCAGGATGGCCTAAAATGTAATTTATCCATTATTTAATTAAAGCAATTAAAGTCAATGTTAACAAAAATTAAATGCATTCTTTAATTGATTATTTTCAATGATTAAAAGTGAAACTTTGACTGAGAGTAGAGGGAATAATTGAATTTCTGCAGTATCTATACAAGTAGAGATAAAATTACTCTAACTAAAATGTCAAAAACAAACTTGCTCTTTACAAGTCAGGAGGTGGAGAAAAAAATAACCAGGCCTATAAAATGTAATGTATAATAACGAGAAGCAAAGAAGAATGAATTTCCTAACAAAGATGGAATTTTTATTAAAAATACTTCACATTTGAACTAAGAAAAGAGTTCTGCATCAGTCATACATAATTAATATAAACTAAAAGCAACAAATCAGAACCAAGATTTGTCAAGAGAAACACCTTGAAAAAGTTCTAAAGAGCCACAATTCTATGGGTCACTAATTATTCAGAACCCAAGTTTGGATGAAATTCAGGGTTATATTACACTGATTTACCATGGTATATTAGAAATGGGGAGAAGGTCCAATTTTTAGGTCTCTTTGAACTCATGGGGAGCTTTAGTGGAAAACTTAAAAAGCATGTAATGTTTGTAAGGCTTTTCTGGGGTCACAATTGTTGAAGGAAAATTAGGATGATTCACTGAATCAGGGAAAGCTTGACTCTCCAAACACAGTCCTGCATGAGATTGGTACACAAATCCACCTTTTCCCTTCACATCCTTAACATAGTTACCTGTATAAAACTGCAAACCAGGAGCACTTGTGTACAACTCCAACACTCTCCCTGATTTCTTATCCTGCACTATAGCTGCTAGCTTGATCTTTTTGCCTTTCTCACCATCCAACACATAATTTATGTCATAACCTTTAGTTTCAGCTAGCTGGTTGATCCTGCTTCCAATAGTATGCGGCTTGAGGAAATCATATGCAGTTCCTTTCACAGAAGCAAATTTGCCTGTGGGAATGAGTTTGCTGTCAACAACTGTGATTTTGGAACCAAAGATCTGCACCACCTCATTCAGAATATTGCCACTGTTTTGGCCCCCTAGGTTCCAATAAGCATGATTGGCCAGATTCACTGGAGTAGGCTTGTTTAATGCTTTTCCTTTCATAATTATGACCAATTGATTTTTCCCAGTTAGAATGTAGCTCACAGTCACTAGGAGATCACCAGGGAATCCTGAACACAATTGGAGCACATAAAAAATCAGTACCTGTATTTCTTTTGTCAGAAATTAATAGAGGTATATAAATTAAGAAATGGATTAGATATATTTTTGTCACTTAAATTATACCAATATTCATTTTGGTTCCTATAAACATTTTTTAATTTCATCTTTTTAAGATTTATTAGTTTTAATCTTTAGTTATTGTTAAATAATTATGTAATGTTACCACGTGTTATTTACTCCTGAAGCCACATTAAGAGAGACTAAAATCATGAATTTTTTAAAATGTAAATTATAATAAAAAATAATTTTATAGAGATTAAAATCAAAATTTGATACATTTTGAGAGAGAAAAAAAACATATTTAAGCTTTAGAAGAAGAAAATTTATAAAAGTGCAATGACACAGATATAATGAAGATAATGGCATTGTATACCTTGTTCACCATCAAAACTGTGGTAACTGAAAGTAATACTGGGACTTGGACCTTCTCTATGATACCTTGTCACACTCCAAAGAACATCACTAAATCCTCTTAATCCACCTAATTAGTAAGGCAGGCAGAGGACACTGAGTACATTCTATAAGATGAGATACAGTGCTAAATGGACAATACAATTATAGTATATATTATTTGCTATGGATACTTATGGTTAAACATACCTACCATGAAGTGTATTATTTCCTTCATTAGCAACTAATTTGTAATGGATTCCATTTAGAGTAAACTGAGCTCCTCCAACTCTGTTAGCAACCCGGCCAACAGTAGCTCCAAAGTATGTTGAATCATTCTGCATATAGTTTGATTGGAATTGCAATCACTTGGTTACATGTTATCCACTATATGTGAGAAGTTAGATACAAACATAAAAGGAACAAACTATGAATATATAGACCTAAAAGATTTTGGATTATTTTAATGTTCCTTCATCCCAACTTAATTCCACCATGTAAACCTTTAATAGTAGGGTCCTCAAGTGGTGTTACATGTTAATGTAAAATGACTAAAGGCCACACATGCATCACTTGACTTGTGGCCATGTTTCCATGCATTATCATTAGAGGCCAACTTCCATGTGCTACTAATGTAGTGCCTGCTTTCTACGTTAATTATTGCTAGAAGAATAATGATTTTCTCCATACTTTAATTTTTTCTATACTATTTTAAACCCCCTTCTTTTACAAAAGAAAGAGATCTCTTCATTTCTATTATAAAAAAATAGGACACCGGAATCATGTTAAAAATTGATTACTGCGAAAATATCATTATTATTTAAGTCACAATATGAAGTCCAAAATACATCAAATAATATTATTTCACCAAAATTCATTATTGCAAAATTTGTGTAAAAATTAATCGAAACATAAAATTCATTTTCAATGATTTTAAACAAAAGAAATAATTTTTTTGTCAATTGAAATAATCAAATTTGAATCATTTTGGTGAATCAAATTTAGAATCCATATAATCTTTTCTAATTATAGGTTGAATTTAAATAGTCGTGTACTTAAAATCCGTATAATATTCTCCAATTATAGATTGTTTTAATTACTCAACATTCTAGAGTTATCAAATTAAAGTAATATAAATTTTACTCTTGTATAGAGTTTTAGAATTCAGTTAAAATATATTAAAAGTGTAAATTTGTTATATTATCCTTTAATTATATTATTTATAATAATTAATTTAAAAAATATATTTATAATATTTTACTATAATTAACTGATATAAGAATTCTTTAGGACATAGGTACTAAAATTATGTTGGGATTGATAAAATTAGTACATATTAAAAATTTCATATTGTTCAAGGTATGTTGGAAGAAGTCTCACATCGTCTAGAATGAATAAGGAAGTGAGTGAAAAAGGCTATATAATGGACTTAGGTCCACACTCCTGTTAGAAATACTTTAAACCTGTGTTTGACTTTTTTTATACTCTTGTATTAGAGTGTTGTGAGATTTAGTTTAATTACTTGCTTTGGAGAATGTGAGTGTAATTGGGATAAAGGAGAATAGTCTATACGTTAATGTGAGTGTAATTAGAGTAAGGGAGAATAGTCTATACGTTGTAAAAATTTTCACATAATGTCATTCGCTAGTTGTCATTAGACAACGACTATTCTTTAGTTGTCATTAAATAACGACTGTGATTTTTTCTCCGTTATATTCTTGTATGATTATTTTATTTTATTTCTCTATTATAAAGGTAATTCTTAAGGGGTAAAGGTGACATTTTTCTTCTTTTCCCAACAAATTAATCTCTTAAAAGAATGTTATTATTATTAAAATCACAAAATCATCAAAATTGAGTTTTAGGAAAAATATAATAACCCTGCAAATAACTAAAAACCCTTTTTCAAATGTTATGACTATAACTCCTAAAATAATAAGACAGATTTGGTGTTTCGAAGGAAATTAATGTCCATGAACTTTGATCATCGGATAATTTTACTTAATTCTTTTAAAAAATATGAAGTTCAGAAATTATTTTTTTTCATGTGAATATATTGATATTTTAGGTCCTGTCATTTTACAGTTTTTTCCTAAATCACAATTCAATTTTATCATTGTAAAATATAAACACAAAGTATTAATCAAAGTATTATATTTTTAAAATATAAATAAATTTTAAACTTATTAATTTTTATATAAGAAATTAATATATAATTATCAATTAAAAATGTTAGACACAAAAATTTAAGAAAAACATATTTTTATTATTTTCATCATGATTGCAACTAATTATTATACCATGGACATAATTGCAACCCACCCAATATTCCCGGTGATCGCACAGCTCCTTTTTCTTTTGCAGGATATTATTTCCTCAGTTCTAACCTAACATTTATGTATGCCAGCACACCACCTGAGGCTAATTATATCTATATTTAATTAGTCGTCAACACTTATATGCTTTTTTTTTTATAAATTTATAATTTATTTCAGTTACTTTAAAAAAAATGTTAAAATGTTACATAAGTTTATATTTATATTTTAAAAAAAGAATATTTAAATATTATGCATAATGTTAAAAACAAATAAATAATTTAGATGGGATGAGCTTTATATAATAGAAAGAAGTATATTTTCATATGTAGCCTAAGTATGGATGATGAATAGAAATGTCTAAGTGGAAACAACTGGGAAAGGGGACATTGAAAATTAGAAAACGTAACTTTGTATTCAAATCTTAATTTACGTGTGACCCTTTTTTCAATGAATAGATATAAACGTCAAAGATATCCTTATCACGTACATATAAAAATATACATGGCCTTAAATAAATGATAAAATGAAACTCTATATCAAATAAACCAAAAGAAAATAAATTATAAACACTTTTTTATCCCACAAAATCAAACTAATGTATCAGTGTTTCATGTTTGTTGCTAATTAAAATAATTTTAGAATGGTATAAAAATAGTTTATCAAAGATCATAAGAGTAGATAATGGATGCAAGTGGTGACTAGGAGTCAGTTCATTAGAATGAATCTGTTAGTTAGCGACAAACTATACTCCAATTCTTAGCCTCGCATTTATCCGAAACCTAAACATTAATAGCTATCACATGTTTGAATTAATCCAAGTTGTTGAACAGTGAGGAGATTGTAGACTGGCACCAAAAAAGAAAGCAGAAGATAAGAAAGTACAAAGTTGACTCACCTTGTAATCCTTAATTGAATCATATCCAAGAACAATATCACCCAACTTTCCTGAAGAAAAATCAAAGAAAAAGAAACAAATTTTAGAAATATAGAGTAAACAAGGAAATTAAGAAAAGAAAATTGCTCATAAAAGAATCTGCATTTGAGAGTAGACAGAAGCATATACCAGTCTTATCTGGAAGAACAAGGGACAAAATGGATGCACCCCAGTTGGTGACCTTCAAGGAAATGTCACCTTTTCTGAGCTCAAAAATTCCAATCTTTTCCTTCTTAACAGAGCCATTGACAAACCCAGAAGATGCTAAGAGCAGACATAGCAACAGCACAAAGATCTTGGTCATTTTCCTCTTGTACAGGAATTTGCTATGAAATAAGGATGAGAATAGGTAGTGCCAGTAATATAAAGGAATAGCAAGGGATTGGGAATAATGGAAACACAATGGGGAAGAGTGTGTAAAAGCAGTAAGCTATTTTCGGTTTGCAGCCACTCTTCATATGATACTCTGACTAGGCCAAGTTGGACCTGTGCGTGCTTCTCATTTGTCATCATGTGACCCCTAACTCCCAGGTTAATGATTTTCTACAATAATATTTTGGTTTTATTTTTGTTTTTATAAATCATAAAAATATCATATTATTTTCATCAAATGTTATTTTAAAATTAATATAAAAATTTATAAAATAAAAAAAGATATTGCTTTCTTAATTATTTGTGAAAAGAAAAAAAATTATTTGTATAAAAAATAAAGAAATATTTTAAAATAGGTCATAAATTGGCGATGTGTCTTTGACATTACTACTAGACTTTACTAACTTAGTTTTTCTATTTTCGTAGCAATCTGTAAACCTAAGTATGTTTTTTCTAGTCCATAAATATAATATATATGTAGGTTTTAAGAAAAGACAGACCATAAATATAATATAAGAAATATTGTTATTGGTTTTCTTTAATCAAATTTAAATGTTGACATCAAAATCTGCGTAATAAAAATTGTTATTAAAGATTAAGACATTAGAGCATTAAATGTTAATATACATTACTGAAATAAAATTTCATCTTTGATTAAAGAACAGTAACAATATTATTTATGATATTGTACTTAAATTTTATCTTTTAAAAATTATTAAAACTACGGAAATGAAAAAAGAAAAAGAATTAAAAGGAAAGGCTAAAACTTACTGTCAAATTTTGAGTTTGAATTTTTTGGTATGGGCCTGAAAGTTGCTTGGTCTGTTCATTGTTTAAGAAATGCATCACAACATGCTGAGTTGATTTGACCCAAGAAAAAAATGTTGGCTTAATTTCTTGAGTTGGGCCTCTATGGCAACAAGGCCACAGCCCAGAGTCTATCTCATAAACATTGGAGTGAAAAAACAAAACATTCTTGACAACTCAAAATATATTATATTTTGACTTATTTACCTGTTGGAGTCTTGGAAGACACCTTCTTAACTAATCGATTTCTTTCTTTAAAAATATTTATTGTGTTATGTTCTCCTGATTAATTTAGTTAGGCTTATTCTCTTAAGTTATCAGAACAATATTAATTAGTTTGAGTGATTAGGATAAGTCTATAATTTGCTATTCACCCGAAGCATTGTATGCATTATTTCCTTTTTATTTCTGTTTTTGATATGTAAGCATCGTTGAACAGTCAAATTAATATATTAATATTAAATATGTCATTTTATTAAGATTGGCACATGATATAATTTATAAAAATGCAAATTTAACTATTAAACGTGTGTACAAAGTGATATATTCCTTTCAATTCTTTTATAAGACACTCTTAATTTTTTTATCTTTTAGGATTGTATTTACAAGACAACTTACAACCAAGCTTTTGGAGTGTATGAGATGCAAAATATTAGATTCAATTTTTTAGTGAATTTTATTAAAAATTTAATGACATTAAAGTGACACAACTAACATGAAATTAAGTAGAGTTTGACTTTAATAATATTTTAAAATCAATACATCAATTAATTTTGACATGTATTTTTAATATGCATGAGTGATTTGATGAGAATTTTCTTATAAATAGAATCAATGGGAGTAAGTAATTTTACCACAAGTCTTATTAAATATCCAAACATACAATAGATCATATGGTTTTTAATACAACTTACTCCAGATTCCAAGAGAATTGGTACACTCCAACTTCTTGCTAGTGCTTATTGATCCCATCTTAATCACAAGTTAAAACCACTAAACATGATATGATCATGTTCTTTATTTCCATCATTAACTTAATAAATTTGCTTAGACACAAAATGCATAGAGCGAAGTTCCAGCAGTATAATTTCCAGTTAATAATCCAAAACCTATTTTATATCCATTTCCTAAATATATGCACCCATCACTTACTGACATTCCACCAAAAACAGTGGATCCAGTCTTATACGACCACACAATGTCACCAGTATTGCCATTTATTGCATAGATAAAGCCTTCTATATCCGTGGATCCTACAAAGATGATGCCATTGGCTACAGTAACAGGACCATTAGTAGTGGCATTAGTTGGGTTGGCTATAGACCACAAGATCTTGCCATTCCCTACCTCCATTGCTACCCACCCTCCGGTTGTAATATTCTTGTTGGATGGTTTAAGAGTGAAATTCTTGTTATCTGAGTTAACAATGTTAGTGTAAACGTTTTTTTCATCAGTGGCTGCTCCCCATGTTCCACCTCCTCCAAACCCACCAGGTCCAGCTGCCTACATAAATACATGCAAAAAAAGTTGACAACTAACAACAGATATATGAAGTGTTGCTAGAATTCACAAGAAATTCAGAGTTATCTTCTACTAAAATTTCTAGTAAACCATTGATTATGCTGGAAATTTCTATGTACTAATATTCTAGAGTTTCTGAGTAAATTGTAAAACTAATTCATCTACCAAATGGAAAAATATCTACATGTATTTGCTTGAAGAATCTTGGGATACAAAAGGTAGCGTATCGAGCTAAAACGTATGCATTTGAAATGAGACATGGACTTGAGAAGACATACACAGAAGGATATGGCAAGTTTTTAAAATCACAGGACGTACACTAAATGATAGATATAATATAAAATTAACATAAAACATAAAGTGTCCAAATGTTAGACATGAATGCTAGTTTAATATGGGTATAACATGACATGATTACTATTTTGAAGTTTTTGTATTTCTAAGGTATAAACCTTATGAATAAACAGTTTTATTAACTTTAATTTTTAAGGTTGAGTTTAAGTAGATAAAAATAGCAAATTTTGATTAAAAATAGAGTATTTGCTATACTTTTATATTTTTAATATAATTAATAATTTTTTAATAAAAGTTTATTACTTTTATATACTTTAACTTCAAAAGTTACCGATAAATAAATCATATCACTGTGTCTGTAAGACAACAAGTCTCTTGTGAGTCATAACAATTTACAGCATTTTAATATATTCCAAAGAAAATTCCATAATTTCTTAACTTTTAATAATGCTACCTTGCATAAATCTTCGCTAATTACAAACTACGCTCTAGTACCATACTAAAACTATTCAACTATCACACCTATCCTACAGCTTGTAAAAATGTCTTAGTGAAAAAAGAAATAGAAGAAAACAATGGTATATATAAAATTATTACCGTAACCCAGCTAAGCTTGCCATTGTCGCGATTCAAAGCCCATGAAAACCCACTCTTTTGTACAGCAACAACAATATCTTGTTTTGTTCCATTCACATCAATTGTAAGCATCATTGGTGCCTCCCCAAAATCAGAATCTGGAAAAGGACCTACGTATGGGCAATTAGGTGTTGATATATTACCGCATGCAACAAACGCTACATCATAGCCTCCTAATTGATTGTACCATTTGATTTTACCACTATCCAAGTCAAGGGCAATGATTGACTCAGAGTGATTTTCTGGTTCAATACACTCATCAGGTTGAGTGGGTTTTGTCAAATTATTTTGTTTTGCTTGACATTGGCGTACATGCAAAGGGGCAGAATACAAGTTTCCAGTGGCAATGTAAACATGGTTCCTTAATGTATCAATGGAAGGGCTACTTCCCCATATAGCTGCTCCAGAATATTCTCCTCGTTTTCCATTGTTATCAGGTAACATAAAGGTTTGCCATAAAATGCGACCAGATCGAATATCTAACTTTGAGAAGCTTCCCCGAAAGGTACAACATTCTTTAGCGCTAAGGATCTCTTCTAGGGAAGATGAACCAACATAAAAAGCCCTACATAGATTAAATTTTAGTGCAAAGAATATTTGTGAATTCTTTTAGGTGATTTTATGCGTCTTTCCTGGATTTTTTTTATATATATTTTAACGACTATTTTAACTTGAACAATGCAGGTATTATATATTTTTTTACGTGATTAATTTATAGCAATTAGTAAAAACAATTAGACATACCTTATATGACATGAAACAAATGTACTGTTACCTTAACTTATTTATTAATTTTGTTTATAATATAAATATTTACTTATGTGATAAATATCTTAATACATACTTATTTAAAATTTTCATTCATTTTGAATGTAAATATTTATCTTGTGATTTATGTATATCCTTACAGGTATATAAAATTTATCAAAAGTTGATCTACTGTACAATAGAGGACAATAAGATAATGTTATGTCATAAAAAAATTTATAAAATATTCATGTTCATGATCTAATTAATAAATGTATGAATTTTAATAATATTTAATTACTAATATATATATATATATATATATATAATTTTAAATCATAAAATATTTTGATAAAAAATATTATTTTTAACAAATATTTATATAAATTGAAGTCATACAATAATTAACAAATAAAATACTAAAATTATAAAATACAATTCAGAAAATAAAATTATATCAAATAAATTAACAAAGTAATTTTGCAAATATTTGTTTATATAAATCTAAAGATGTATAAACTTATCATACAACTTATATTTATATAAATGAATATTTGTAAAATCATTTTATCAATATATGTTTATAGATTATATTTGTACTATTATAATATTATCATATTTCTATATAATATAGTTAATAGATTATATTAATTTCTACATCAAATTTAGATGATGTAACTCTCTTATTCACTATATAAAATAAGTCAAAACTATTTTGAATCTTGATTAACTGTGAAACTTTTGACAAATATCATATGAATGATCATCTACTTACATTTTGCTAATTCCACATCTGATTTTACTAATTAAACTAGTTACTTTTATTAAGGACAATTATTTATCTGTTGGACCATATGTATTGTAGAGGAGACAGGATTATTTTTTCTTTGATGTTGTCACAACTTTTATTCTTTTCATATTTATCATCAGCAGAATTTTTAATTCTCAACACCTTATGAATCATTTATTGAATTTAGTAAAATTTTCAACTTTGATGGTTGATTTTACTGTTTAATAATCTTATTAATATTTATGTCCATAAAAAATATCGAAAATATACATCTTTAACTGCAACTTGTGCGACAATATACGGGTGTGATATCAGTGTAATACAAAGAATACATGCACAAGCTACAGATTACCATTCAATATGCATTAACTAGTTGGTGACCTAGAAAATTAATTGTTATCTTCTGGATTAGAATTGGTTATACGTATATTATATTCCTATATTTTTATAAGATTTTAGTTTCAGTAATTTTTAAAAGAATTTAGTCTTTATATTGTATTAATTTTTTATTTTAATCTGACACTATTTATTACAAAATTAATACGGTTATCTTTTTATCAAGCTTTTATTTAATAGTTATCATAGACCACAAGTATTAAATTTTAAAAAAATATATAAACCAAAATAAAAAAAATGGAAGAATCTAAAATAAAAAACAAATAAATATAAAAATAAAAAATATATTCAAACATTTATGTAAAATAAAGCACAGCACAAACTAATTTATACGTGCAGCCCTAATTGTGAAGGAAGTCTTTTATTTAATTAAATATAAAAAAATTTCCCAGATACACCAATTATAACTAATTTGAAACTCTTTAAGAGACTTAAACATCTATAAACTGCATTTTTCATTTGTATTGTCTATAATATTATTATCACTTAATAATATTATTTAATATCCAATTTGAGAATCTGAATTAACATCTTATACAAATTAAAAAGTAATTATACGATAGTTATATAAAATGTATAAATTTCCAAAACCAAATATTAAAATAGCATTACTCCTCGTGACCTAGGTTAAAAACAAACTATTAATCAAAGTAAAATTATTAATGGGTCTGAGAAAATATATACTTACCCGTTGTAGTAAGTTCCAGACATAGTCACAACGCTGGTGTTATGGCGGTCTAAACGGGTAAGCCAAACCAACTCACCAGTTGATATTTTGACAGCAATAACAATAGCAGGACCATATATTCCATATATGAGAAGATTATCATCACCAGCTATTGTTGGTGTTGCTCTTGTCACTGTCCAATTAACACCTGGCACATACCCTGATTCAGTTAGGCCTGTTAAATTGTTCAAGTTCTGCTTCCACACAAGAGATCCATCTCTTGCTTTCACTGCATAAATGTCACCATTCCAGCTTGGAAAGTAGATAGTGCCATTGAAAATTGCTGGTGTTGCTGTTATGTCTTTTCCTGCATAGAATTTCCACTTCAAACTTAGGTTGGAAACAGTTTCAAGGCTGATTTTGTGCTCCATGCTGGCATATCTTCTGTTGTATATATCTCCACCATGGTTTAACCAATTTTGAGCCTGCTCTGTAGTGTTGGAACTGTCCTAAAACCACTCAAAAATTGTAAACTTGGTTTAGCGTAGAAGTAGCTAATCAATTTAATAGACTAGTAGGATCATAAGAAATGGAAAAATGTTAGTTATACACTCCGTGATTGTATATGATAAAAAATAAGAGAAATAATATGATAAAAAATAAATAAAAATAGTCTGTAAATGAAATAATATTTCATTATAAATATGAAGGAAGCAAAATTATAGTTTTGCGGCTTACATCAGAACCTTGAGATACTGAACTTGGAAGTAGGCAAAATAGAAACATAGAAATAATGAAACAGGTGATTTTCTCGAATTGTGTCATGGGTTTGGAAAGTTGCAAATGCACTTCAGGTTTAACCGTTTCAACTGTAAGCATTCAAGACTTTCCGGGTATGTTTGGACATATCATTATATAACATAGCTATATACAGGAATGTACAATTATTATATGATATACAGTAATTACTAATTAGGAAACATTATTATTATTTATTTGTTTCTCCCACCAAATAAAAATATTCTTCCCTGTCAATTGGGCAGGCACTCGTTGATTTCATGGGAGGATTTAATATTGCATTGCCTTTCACCCGAAAAGGACAAATTTCTAGAAAATCAGAGCTAACACTATAATATATTATAAATAAGGGTGATGGTTGGCATTAAGTCATGGTATGATAATTCCTATTTGATATAGATCGAGGCTTAAAGTGTTTTATGTGTTCTTATTTTTTGGAGTTTTACGTTGACAATTATGTAATAAAAGTCGATACTAAAAAATTTTAGTATTTGTCATTAGAATAAAATTCCATTTTAAGTAAATAATAACATTAAAATCACTTAAAATACTATATTTAAGTTTTTTCTTTATGAAGTATAGGTTTAAATTCGGTGTTGCTATATATATATATACACAAGCAATTTTTAAGGAGCTTACGTTTCTAGTATTATTCATTGTTTATTTATTTTTTGGCTAGTTGTCAACGCTACTCCAAAGAATAGAAAGTAGAATTAACTTGGACAATTTTAATCAAATCAACAGCTTTTATTTTTCAGTTAATGTGCTTTCGCTCGCGTCATTTAATTTCCAAATACTTTATTTTGTTTGATTCATTTTTTCCGTTTTTTTCTTAGATACAACTAGCTGACCTTGGAGATACCAACTGAAACCAATTGATTGCTAATTATTTTTCAATCCAAGTTGTCGGGTAAAATTGTTAAATTACATGAATTTATTTTTTTTTAAAAATGAAAGAGATATGTAAAATGAAAAAGTATATCTATATATGTGACTTAAATTAAAGTATTTAATAAACTTACTTTATTTTTTTTTTATAGGCAAAAACATATATTATTAGAGAGAGTTCAAGGAAAACTCAAAACTATTTACATAGAAAAAAATTACTTACTTAAAAAAATAAAAAGCAAAAATATATTTATACAAAGCTAAGATTGATGTAATTTCGTGAGTTCAAATACCAATCAGCTAACAAAATAGCTTCTCTTTTACTAACAAGTGATAGCCATTTCCAGTATCTCAAAATAATAGAATTTATGACTTCCCTCTCATCCAAAACACCGTTAGAAAATACAATTTTATTTCTATGTAACCACAAAGACCACATTGTACTTACCCAAATAATTAATAAGCATATCCCTTCTCTTTTACTACAATCAACACCAACCCAAGAAAACAAGTGAGTCGATAAATTTGAAGGCAAAACCAGTGAGAATCCAAGCCAACGCGCAGTAAAGTACCAGATTTGAGATAAAACTGAACACGTTAAAAATAAATGAATTGGAAGTTCCTCCAAACTATGACAGAAGCAACAAATTATATAATCAATTTGAATACCACGATCAATCAGCAAACCTTTACAAGGAAGTGCATTCAACAACAATTGCCACGAAAATACCATACACTTAAGAAAGACCTTCCCTCTCTATAACCTTTGCAAGGCATCTGCCGTACACT